AAAATAAAGTGCAACTGTAATGCTTTAAAATGATGCATAAACTATTGCCCTAGCATGAAAACTGTCAAAGTTATTTGCAACCATATCGGAACCTCAAATTACCGAGTTTTTAAACATAGAACAATAATTCTACCGATCCATCAAATTGACCATTTTTTAGACGAACACATTATGCCACAAATGATATACCAAATTAAAGTGCAATCATAATGCTCTAAAATGATGCATAAATGACTGTCATAGCATGAAAACTGTCAAAGTTATTCACAACCATATCGGAACCTCAAATTACCGCCTTTTTAAACCTGGGAAAATAATTCTACCGATCTATCCAAAAAAGCCAAAAAAGTTGAGAGATATAGAAGAGTGTCTAAAACTTAGAAAAAACAAGACAAATCCGCGTTAAGTGCACCTAAAATTGTTTCTGAAGTGAAAGAATAATTAATAAAGACTGTTTCAGAAACAACAATTCATCGAAAGTTTTAAAGTCCGGGATGTAATGGCCGAGTGTCTAGTAAGAAGCCGATAGTAAATAATAAGGATGGAGCGTTCTGACTAAAATTTGTGAATGAGCGTCTCAACAAAGATTTAATTTGGTGGGACGACGTTATAATTCTTTGATAAGAGCTTATTTAATATATTTCCAGTGTCGAAAGAACAATGGCGTGGCGGAAACCAAATGAAGAGCTGAATGGAAAAAACGTTACTCCCATAGTAAAACACGGAGGAGGACATGTGGTGGTTTGGGGCTCTATATTATCAAATGGATTCGGAAACCTAGCCTTTATCGACATTAATATGAACAAAGATTAGTATTTAACTATTTTGAGGGATAATTTAAAGCAATCTGCAGAAAAAACGGAAATTGAATGGACATTTAAATTATATCAAGTTAACGACCCTAAACACTAAAGGCATCTTGTCCTTGAATGGTTGCTTTATAATTGTCCAAAAGTGATTGAAACACCGACTTTAATTCCATAGAAAATTTATGGAAGCATTTAGATTGGCAAAATCCTACAAGTCCAATTTCTTCTAAAAATGGGCCCCAAAAAAGATTGCAAGAAGAATGGGATAAAATCAGGGTAGAATATTTGAAAATATTATCTCTAATATGCCAAATTGTCTATCTGAACTTGTAAAAAATAATGGCTAGCCCAACAGATAAAAGTTTTATTTTTAAATTCATATTTTAAGAAATTATGTTACAAGTTAGAAAAAACGCATATTAATGAAGCATTAATTTTTGGTAAGTTATATTTTTTTGCTATTTTATTTGTTTTTATCATTAATTTTTATCTCAAGAATAATGTATTTTGAACTGTTTTTCATTTTCATTTAATTACAAAAAAATATATACATATTTTCCTTAAAATTCCTGCTTAAATTGCAATATCAGTATATCGCAATAAAAACCCGAATATTAATGACAGTCACTGTACGTTTTTCTAAAAAAGTGAAGGAAATTGTATGTCAAAATAATAGCACCACTTGTGTACAGATTTTAAAAATAAAAAAACATTTTAAAAAGTTCATAGTTGGAGTAGTAGTTTGACTAGCCACCCTCTTCTATTTAATTCTGACAAATTTCCTGAAAGAATAATTGTTGGTTGGTTTTATTTTAGATACATATCTTTACATTTGCATACAAATTATGAATTGATGGCCTGCCTAGCCGTCCGACTAAGGCTAGGCAGGCCATCAATTCATAATTTGTATGCAAATTACAACGGCACTATTGTTCAGAATCCTGTTTTTGGTATTATTGTGTTTTGGAATATTTTTCGAGTTTCTTAGGTAAGACCGAGAACCCTTCCTAAGAAAAAATTGGACCAATCTGCCTAAATATAATTGTCCTCGTTTTCAAATGGCTAATCTAAATGAGTTTTAGCATACTCTAACAGTATCGCCATATCCTTGTTTTTAAGAATAGTACTTTTCTTGATCTGTAAACATTTAAAATGTGTTCTCAATGTCTCCTGAATATGGATGCAATAATTTAGCAGTAATTGTTTTATTTATCGCACTATGACTCATCGTTTAATGAAGATTATTGGTTTGAAGTCCAGAAATATGGCTTTTAATTTGTAATACATCCTACAATAATTCTTATTTGGATTATGTTTCCAACGATCAGACATCTGTTTTTAATTGTTTCATGTGTTTCTTCTTTGCAGAGAACGAAAGAGCCAATTATTTTAATTCCAATGTTATAATTCTAAAAAGCCGAATTTTATAATTAACACGTTGATGTAAATGACGTGTATAGACGTCGATCACGGGCACTCGTGGATGAAAATGATGTCTATAACCGTTATATAGAGCTATATTTTTAATGTTAAATTCACTATAAAACGGAGTATAATAACTAGTTTCTCTACATTATTTTTAACAATAAACTAATACATATACATATGTATTTTCATTATATCAATAACATTTTTGATTAAAATTTATATTCGGACAATACTCGAAGAATTTAACGAAGTACTCAAATTTCTCAAAATTTAACTGTATTTATATATTTATCTGGATTAGGGTTTCTAAGCGGGACATTTTTTCCGGGAATTCTTTTTTTTTAATCCCGGGAAAGTTTTGTCGGGAAATTTCGTGGGTTCCATTTGAAGATTTCTTCATAAATTTGTAAAAAATTTTAGATAATTAAAGTAAACTCTGTATAAATTTCAAATCTTTTACTGGTGATGGTTTTATTTAATAGGAAATACTATTTAAAAATTATAATTGAATCTGTGTATCATACCTGATGCTAGGAAATAAGATCTCAGAAACGAATGCTTTATATGTTAAAATTAAATAAACTAAATTTATATAATAAACGTTTAATATGACAGACGAAAGACTGACTGACTTTTAAGATACATATTATTAGCAGATATGTATGTACATATATTTCAATTGGGACTGGGTTTACAGTTCTCCCAAAAGGAAGAAATAACACGTAAGTTTTGAAAATTATATGAAATTTTTAAAACTTAAGTAAACTTTAAAACCCTACTCTTACACCCCGGATATTAAAATAATGGGACTGTTTCTAACCATAAATGTGAGAAATATCTTCTCGAGACCAACTTTGTAATTCAAAACAAATTGTCACATATACCGATTGGAATTTTTTCTAGTGAGCTATTCCCGTTAGTAAGTTGTAACTATCTGATAGGTTTTCTTTAAGGTTCTTGAAATTCCGATAAATCTTGATAATGCATAATAATTCTAGTTAAATTTTATTTAAAAGTTTTAGTGAAGGATTTGATTAAAACGTCAAAAAACAATAATTACTGTTTCAATGGTTTTTTTTTTTTGAGAACTTTGACCGCTTTCGATCGGAATGTAACGTAGCATAATATTGGAATAATTTTCTGAGTCGATTTAGCTATATCCGTCAGTTAACTTTTTATTCAAACTACAGGTTTGTTTAAATGAAATTAGGTAATTGATTTCTTATTGTTCCAGGGACGAATCCTGTTGAAAATTATTAAAATAGGTCCATTATTTCACCTAGTCCCTATAGAAATGAACACCCTGAATATGTCTTTTGAGCTCATAATATATTTAATATATTCGTATCATCACAACTATTATTTTGACTGTAACTGTATCGATGTTTATGTAGATACCGGCATTGCCAGACACACTAAAGAAGTTAGATGGAATTTGCAATCAATGAAATATTATAATTTATAACGCCTTGAACTAGTTTACTTATTTTAACATAAATCTACTAAAACTGTATTAGCTCACTAGATTTTTGTACCTGGCGTTGTCCGGGGTATCTTCTTAACTGACATTTTTATCGGTGTTGTCATAGAACCCAATAGTTACATAGGCCGACAAAATTTGAAAAACGTCGAAACCCTGAGACCAAATTATACTTTTTTTATGGATTGAACCGAGCTGAATCCTAAGCTGACTTCAGATTTTCTCGATCACATCTCCAAAAGGGCCAAAAATGGAATTTTTTAAAATTTCAGGACACGATATCTCAAATCCCAGAAGTGATGGAGAAAATCTGAGCGGCTCAATCCTTCAGAAAAGTATACCTTGGTCTCTGGGTTAAATATTTAAACGCTAAAAATGTATCGGTTTCATGAAATCCAAAGTAATCGGTTTTAAATTTAAAATTTAATGTTATATCGAATAAAAAACTATAGCATTGGTTTTCATGATGCTAATGTATTTTTTTACGGTTTTTCGAATTTAATTTCGTTTTTTCGAACATAACAGTGTATTGTAATCAGTTGTCATTATTACAAAATTTGTACCATTACAAACCAACAAACTAACAAAGCAAATTAAATAAAAGTATGTTTTAAAGTGTATTATTAAAAATTTGTTAATTCCGTTTACAATTTCTGTAGTATAATTTTGTGACCCCACAAAGTATATTATGGGCTCGATTTGAGCAACCGAAAGGAAATCGAAATTTTGGAATGACTGGCCACTAAAATCCTATACAATTTCATATAATTCTTCAACAAAAACATGCAATTACTTGATGATAATCAATAACATAACCTTAGGTCGGGATATACAACACTGTTTTTTAGGTGCCTATGTAAAAAATAAAGTTGATGAAAATATAATAAATAAATCAAAAACTAACTTCCAAATAATATTTCTTTAGCCATAAGAAAGTAAAAGCTGTACTTGTAGCTCCCATTTTTTGACAAAGTTGTTATTATAAAGACTGTAATGTTAAAAAAAGTAAGCTTTTGTTCAAATCAGTCAATTGCAATAATAGGCAGTTGCGCTAATCTAGCCCGCATTGTATTGCATATGTATATTCTAAATCCTTAAACATAGTGAAGTCAATTTAATGATATCTCTCTGTTGAATGGAATTTTTGAAGAACAACAACCAATCGTGATCAATTTATAATTTTCTATCACACAAAGATTTCAATAAAATTTTCTTTTGCATTAAAATTGCACAATAATTACGCACTATGTATGTATATTTATATTAGTTTCATTCTTTTACAGATTTAATTCAACTTTAAATCGCAACATAAAGAGCAATTAATAGTTGCAGCAAAAATAATTTAATGAAAATGGTAAGTTTAAATATTATACCACATTAATTAATAACAAAATTCATCATAGATTCTGGGTGTGGATTTTCTTTAGAATATGGTACTCATTAAAAAATTTCGTATTATTATTGAGATATTTATGGCTAGATATAAATAAAAAGGCAATAAAAATTAAATAAAAAGGACACGACTTCTAATGTATGTGATGATTGAAAAATTAATTATTGCTGAATTATTATTACAATTGTATTTTCAAATTTTCAATAATTGAAAAAGTTAACTTTCACTCTGTTATTCAAATTTGTCATTCTACCAACATCCTACGAAAATAAGAATTAAAATAGTTTTTTAAAATGGTTCCACAGCGGGACTGGATAAAGCTATCGAATAGGTACCTACATGACGGAGCATTACTGACCATTCAAACTTTGAAACATGTCCTTCACATTTGCAGTCTTTTTTTATTAAAAAATTTCATTGTAAAGATATTTTAATCAAAATTTACTAACTTTAAAGGATTTTGAATATACGCACTATTTTATGCATGACAAATGCATCGAAACCTCTTATAGTCGAATTTGCCTTTAGTAAATCCACTTTCAAACTATCTTTGAAGTCCTTAAAAAACGATTCTATAGAATATTTATTTACGGTCATGATTACACCTATAAAATTATGGTAAAATTAAAAAAAAGTACAAAAAGAAGTACAAATACTAAAAATAAGTACACTTACGTACTTCTTTAGGGGTTATGCAGTTAAAAGTACAATTACTAAAAAAAAGTACGCGTACTGCTGAAAACAGTACGTCTGGGAAGCCTACTGATAACTAATATAAATATTGTCCCTACACCCACCGTAAAATATACCAATCGGCTCTGTCTGTCTGTCCGTCTATATAAACTTTGCAATCAAGATCACTTGAGGAAATTTTGCAAATTGTCCCTGTTTTGAATATTAGTACTATGTGGATTTTAACAAAGTTTTCAGAATAACAAAAAAACACTTTAATTTAGCTGTTTTTTGATATATGGCGAAGTTTTAGAAAAATATGTCTCTTCGCGGGTTCGTTAACTTATATAATTAATAGTTATTCTGAAAAATAACTGAATTTTTAACGCGCTTTCAGCTTTATCTAAAAATCTAAATAAAGAACTAAAGGTCTTTCAATTAGATTAATATTAATAATTATATTTTGATTGCTATTCTTGCATAAATTAGCAGAAAATACTTATTTAATTCTTATTAAATCATTTGTCTTAGAATTTCGACTTATTATCACAGCATCTGTTTATGCAAAATTTCAAATAGGTCTAGAAGTTGCGATTCCACTTTCAATTTGAAATTTAATTTTAATTTTTTCCCAATTTAATCCCACCAAATTTCATAAAAATCGGATTGTTATATATAGCATCCTTGGTTTTTTCATATAAGTACCGCAAGTGCTTTAACTAAAAAGTTCCTATAAAAATATTAACGGAAGGACGGACAAGATATGATCGCCCAAAGAAGTGATTTTAAGTTGATCAGTGCACCAGTGAGTGAGGATCCATTATTTACGGTGTCAGATTGACTAGAGTAAAGAAAATATTATTATGGTGGTGCTATGATTTAAATCAATATGCATAATTTGAAACACATAGGACTTTTTGCTAAAACCTAAACCAATAAAGATATCGATAAATGCTTTCGTGCACATAAGTACAACCAGTAGAGGTACAAATTACAATAATAAAAAAATTTCGACAAATTCCACATAGTACTAAAATTCAAAACTGGGACGAAATACTCCTCTTTTATCCCAATGACTAACGACACACCAAAATAACCGAGACTACCGATTTGGGTTTCTTAGCTCATAATTATATCAAATATACTAGTATCTCACAAAAAACCGAAAATTTCAGGAAATCAGTTTCTCGTCAAAAATCTGCTTAAATATAGTAATGTATAAGTAATTTATTTCCTAGTTTAGAACCTTTTAATATATGTACATATGAGGAATTTCGTGTCAAGTGACCCAACTTTGAAATTCGATGTCTTCCGTTTTGGATGAAATTTGCACCAAGGTTAGTACTATGGGATAGTAGGCCAGATACAAATTTTCAGCTCTATCGGTCAAGATAGATATCCCACTCGCATCCCATTATGGGACTATAAAGGCCTTCAAGGAAATTGTATAAGCTTTCTTTTAAGCAAAAAATGTTTGTAAAGAATGAAGAAATAGCTATCTGAACTCCTTTGGGACAATTTCTGCTAGGACCAATAGGTGAAAAGTTACACTAATAAAACCCTGTATAATCAAAATGTCCAACTTTGACCCCCTCTAAGTCCAGCAGTTCTTGACCGATAGAGCTGAAAATTTGTGTCTGACCTATTTACGATAGTACTAACCTTAGTGCAAATTTCGTCAAAATCGATTTTTTGAGATAGGTCACTTGACATGAAATTTCCCATATGTGTCTTCTCTGAATTTAACACTTCAAGTCAATATATTTATTGTAAACAACATTTTTTGTCAAAAATAAAATCTATAATTATTTTTCATTCGTTACCAACTAATCAAAAAACAGCTTATTATGATAATTAAATATTTCGTTCGTAATTCTTAAGCTGGAGGTCCACACCACGCGTTCTACGCTTCTTCGCATTCTACGCGGCTGTCAAAAAAGTAAATCAATGTTGTTGTGTGCTACAAGTTATAAGCACAAAAGCGTAGAATGCCTTGACGCGTAAAATGCTTTCTACTTTTGTAAGCGTCATAAGCGACGCATGAATATGTCAGCTGATTTTGACAATTTGTATTCTATTTTAAAGTGAATTTATCAATTTTAATAAACTAAAACGAGTTAAATTGTGAAAAAATGAATAAAAAACTTAAAGCGTAGCATGTAACTTGATGCGAAGGATGCAACTAAGGTATGAAAAGCACGAAATGCTTTGCCGCGAAGACGTGTAGTGTGGACCTCCAGCTTTACAATGCGTATAATTCACATTTGAAATTTTGTATGGCGAATTATGTAACTTAGTCAGGGTTTAATATTTAGTTTTTAGTTTTATTTTTTTAAATGTCGACTGAACTGAAGAAAGTTCAAGTATTTATTTTTCCCTCACAAGCTAACTGAAGTCAGTCAACTGTGTCAACGCACTGCTGCAATAACTTGCAAGTGGTTTTGTTTTTCTTCAGCAGCCACACACACAAGCAGCGGCCATGTTAAGTTTTTCAACTCAGCCGAACTGAACACAACGACTGAACAGTAAAAACAGATTTGCGTGTGCTGCTTACGTATTGCTTAGTTCTTAGTTTCGTTTTCTTACTAAGGGACGTAAAAAAAACTGATAGTTTGACTGGTTAGTAAAAATCAAGCCGACTGAACAATAAAACTTGATGGGTTGTTTGTTCAGTAAGACTTTGTTATTGTATGCAATTTGTTTTAGTATATTGTATGTTTTTGTGTTTAAAGTTGACAAAAGTAAATAAAGTAATTGATAATTATTGCTAATAGAAATTGTTAATTAATTTAAAATTTATAAAATTATAAATTACTATACTTATAAATTTAGATATTTTCTTTAAATAAAAATTGATTTAAATTTAAGCATTTTGATGATTTTTTAGTGAGATTTTGTTATTGTATGTATGTATGTATGTATATTAGGGTGGGTCGAAAATAGGCTTTTCGCTCGGATCAACATCTAATAGTGAAATTGTGTTGTATTTTAACGTCAAATGGAAGACTGTAAAATATTTATTATTCAATAATTTTGAGGGTAAGAGCCCGCGCATCGCTGCCAAAGTTTGTAAATGCGTTTATATGGGAAAAATGGCACTTTTTGGAGTTTTTTCACAAAATTAGGCTTTAAGTATTAATTATTGCACCATTTTATAGCAAAATCGTAATGTCTACAAAATTGTCTTTCCAAAAAGATGGAAAAACTCAAATTTCGTTAAACATATTTTGAGTTATTAAAATTTCCCCCGAGAATTTAGTGATTCTGAAGACATATAAAAGTAAATATAAGAAAATTTTTGTTAGTTTTGAAAAATTTTACAAGAAACTATTATGTTTATCCTTATAAGGTTCATAAATGTGCTAGTACGAATTTTTGTTCAAATTGGATAACGCTTACTCGGTTTAGTCTGTGGTCAAAAAAGGGCCATTATTTTAACAGCATCTCCAAAACTCCATTTTCAAACTTTAAAAAATTTTGTTAAATTGATTATTAAAAATTAAAGTTTTCTATGCTTGATATTATAAAGGATATATATAAGAATTAAACACAGAAAGAATGAGCTTAATACCTCTCATAGTTTTACCGTACCTGCGATGTGAATTTGAAGGATTTCGGGAAAAAGGCAATTTTTGCCAGTAATTAAGTAAAAATTATATTATTACCAATTGTTGCTTAATTTTGATCAATTAAATTGCGATTATTATTTCCGAGTCCATGAAAAGTTATTTCTGATAAAATTTCCGAAATTAAAAATCATTAACCCTCTAAAAACCGGGGTCAAAATCAAGTTTTTGTATATTTAATATTCTTCATTAAAAATAGCAAAATATTGTGTATTTAATTATGAATTCATTTTGACAAACTACACGAAAATATTTCCAGAAATCTAGGAATCAAACTTCTTCAAAAATTAACCCTCTGTCATACTTGGGGTCAATTCAAGACCGATTTTTTAAACACTACAAAAAACACTTTTATAAAGGAATTTTCTAAAATTAATTTTCTTAAAGATTTAATGGATATATATCCAGTATTTGGTTTATCGTATTATTTGAATGTAGTAAAAATAACTTCTAAGAAGTTTCATCAATATCCATCAACAAATTAACAACATCATGCTCTTATTTCTTCAAGAACATAAAATTCAAAAATTTGATTTTGACCCCGGTGTTTAGAGGGTTAATGATTTTTAGTTTCGAAAATTTGATTAGAACTAACTTTCCATGGACTCGGAATTTACTTGATCAAAATTAAGCAACAATTTGTAATAATATAATTTTTACTTA